CTGAGGAGATACACACCTCTTTACATTTCCTCCTCCAGCTCCACCCGAGGTGTCCCTGTATGCAAAGACCTCCAGAGTGGATGCAGACGTGGTGCTGACCTGCCTCGCCACAGGCTTCTACCCAGCAGACGTCGTCCTGAGGATGAAAAAGAATGAGAGCGTCCTGACTGCAGACGACGGCCTGATCAGCTCAGGAGTTCTTCCCAATGAAGACCACACCTTCCAGAGGAGAGACCGTGTGGAGGTTTTAAGGTCTGACCTGTCTGCGCTCAGCTGTGAAGTCGTTCATGAGGCATCTGCTGTGAGCGTTACCAGAGTTTGGGGTGAGAAACTTTATTTTATTTTTGTTTTCTTGGTTTGTCACAGTTTTCTTCTTTGTTTAAAGTTGTGTTGGAGAGCAGCAGATCCCTGCAGCGTTAGTTTTCTGACCACAGTCACTTTTCTGTTCAGGCCAATGTTTGAACTCAGAGTCAGTTACTGAACTGAATTTGAGTGGGTGAATCCAGAGTTAGGTCCACAGTGTGGAGAGGTTCCTGTGTGCACGTCTGCTGTGGATCATCCTTCAGTCTGCTACAGGGTCTCTGCCGGCTCCTTTAGATTTCCTCTGGAAAAGTCCAACCTGAACTCTAAACAGGAAATACTTTTCCTGAACATTGGCTTAAAAATTTACTGGTTGTGCAGCAATTTATTTATTTTTTTAAGTTTTTCAAGTTTGTGTGTTTTCAACTGTGCAGTGATGCGTAAATATGAAAGTCATGTTAATTATTTTTTATCATGATATTGTTATTTTTACATATTCAGCTCACAAGTTTACCTGAATTAATTTCTTTCCTTCAGACTCTCAAAGCTCCTCTGACTCCGCCTCTGACTCCGCCTCTGACTCAGGTGTCTCCTGTAAGTATCGTTTATTAAAAGTTGCACAGGATCAAACTGTGGGTGTTAAAATTCATCCTGGAGAAACTCATAAACAGTTTTAATGAAAAATATGATGATTATTATTATTATCATTATTGATACGAGGCTCTTGCACTAAGGTCAGCACTTCATAGTTGAAATCGTGGCTCTCAGGTTGGTTCAGTCATGTGACCACGGTGTGACTGTCACAGCTGTGAAGAGTTTCACAGGAAATCTGTGCAAAGGTGAGTTTTAGATTCGTGCGATCATCAGCATGATCAGCTGACCTGCAGGAACCGTGATCATAGCTCAGGTACGCTGCTGTTTGTGCTGGAGCAGCAGGATAAACGCGTCAGGACGAGAATCCTGAGCGAATGAACTTTTTTCTCAGCATCAGTCGGACCAAACTGTCACTCTGTCCCACC